CGCCTCGTGCGACAATATTTCCCACTCGTGTGAAAAATGTCACTTTCCACACTCGTAATGTAATATACTATTACCCATGTCTTGTTCAAAAATTGTAACTTCCCCTATACAGTAGATGTAGCGAAATGTTTTAAACGAGATTATCATAAAATATCATTTTCAGTGGAAATGTTAGTTAGGTCCTGCATTGTGGCCCTCGACATAAGTTCTTAGAGTTATATGTTACTAGGCAGTAGAATGTTAACTTTATTGTTGTGCCTATGGAATCAATAGCATATTTTGATCCGATTCTGTTATGATCAAAGCTGAAAACTGTCTATTAAAAATGAAAGGGGAGAGGTCAGAAGACATAATACGAACTATGCCTCGGCATTTTTCTTATACACATATTTGTGAAAATTATATATTAAATATTCGAAAGTTTACTCTGTTCTGCAAGATATATAAATAAAAAAAAATTAAAGTAGTTTTATTATATAATATAAATTATCAAATAATTGTGTAGTAATAAATAATAATTATCTATTAAATTTAGCTATTTTACAGTGCTTTTTCAGTAACAAAAAAAAGTATCGAAAACGGCAGATATGAATTTGTCTATACGGTTTTTTCACCTTTAGATAAAGTGTCAGGTAATTTTTATCTCCCAAGTAACTTAAAAAGTAATCTTTTCACTTCTGGATAAATCTAACTTCTAAATGATAACTTATCTAACTTATGAAATTCCTGATAAAATATTTCACTGATGGATAAACGGGTAGCTACATAACCATATAAGGTCAAAAACCACTGGATACTTACCATCCATACATATAATTTACTTGAAAAAACAGAAAATTAATTATCTGACAGATAGTAACTCTCAGATAATATATCCGTCAGTTAGTTATCTGGAACTTTATCTGAAGGTAAAAAGACCGACCCTAAAATGTATAAAAAATATTTAAATTATGATTTCTTCAGCCTCTACAGATTATGGCCAAACAAAACAGTATAAATCGAAGCACATGATATATAGTCTGCCTTGGATCAAAAGCATTTTTAGCTTCTTCAGGACCTTCTCAGATGCGTAAATATTGTAATGGGCATAATACAATATGGTAACAATGTTGTGGCAAATCACTTACCCCCTGGGACATGTGCTACTGCTTTAAAATCAATTTTAAAAGTACCCCGTTAAGATCTCCGTTTGTGTCTGTCAATTAATTAAATTATATCTACTTTAAAAACCAGGGTTTGAGTAGGCTGGGTTAAAATTCTTTAAATCGAAAACAAATAAATATTTTTCATAAAAAAAAAATGAAATCGATGGAGAAACATATAAACCTTATTACCTTGCCATCCATATGCTCTAATATGTTAAATAATTAAATTCAAAATTATGCTTTAACAATTTCAATAATCACTGTGTTATTCTTGTAGACATTAATGACAGTTGACAGTATGGTTCTTCTGTTAACATCCAGTGCTATGACCTTCCTTAACCTGTGACGCGCACTAAACACTCGTATTGAGTTGATGAATTTGGTGACAACCATCTGAGAATTAAGTTGAATTTAGGAATATGATGTATGACTTATCTAAAAATTGTTGATGGATAAAAGAACATTGAATGGTATCGATTAATATTAGAAAACGCCTTTAACAACAAACGACACCATCTGACATAAGTCAATATTCTGTCAACCATACAGTAATACCACTAAACAAAACTAAATATAACTAACTGACTTAAGCTGTGTTCACACAATAAAAGTAATGATACTAAATCATATTTTAACAATTCCTACAAACTGACTACAGAATAAGTAAACTACTTTTCTACAGGAAAATTAACCAAATATCTATGGGGAAAAATTCGAGAATCATCGGAGGGTTTAGAGAAAGTTTTGGTAAAGATGTATAGTGTGCTCAATATCATCGGTGATTAAATCTAGAGCCATTTTAGAAATAGACTTGGGTTACATAAGCCGCCCCGGCTGACTTTGGCCGATTTATAAAAATTGTTTACATTGTTAATATTTAAGTTAAAAAATTTAATGTGTACAAATGTATTTTTTTGTGTGTTTCTATGCATTATATTCAACATTAGAAGCAAGTAGTATCTTTAGTTAATAGTTTTAGTTCTTAGCTACAGCTCTGATTAATTACGTGAGAATAATAAGTCATTTTTGTACTCTGCAAAACAGTGACCCACGGATATCTATGAGCCAGCGACGAAAACATTGCAATAATTGAACCTCTAGAAAGGTTTCCACGCGAGAACGAAAAATATTAACTTTTTGTTTAACCGCCAGAGAGCGGCCAATGTCGCGGTTAACCATGTGTTTGAGTGTGACTTTGGTCATCTAGTATTTCATTGTTTATACTGTTATAGCATTGCGAAAGTTGTTTTCTTCTGGTTCCCGGTTTTTAGGCATTATTTTGACGGTATGGTAATTTTTTTTACATAGGATCTGCATGTAATAGTTTTTATTTTAATTTTAGAACAATGGGGCGGTACAAAAGAGTAACAGGAAGTATAAATTATCAAAATTATTCAGACGCCAAGTCAATGGAAGCTGTTCACCATAAAGCTAGAGTAATAAGTCAAAGGACGGCGTCCAAAAGGTTCAATATACCTAGGGCTACCCTACAGAACAAACTAAACGGCGCTCACAATAACAAACCAGATGGTCAGACGGTTTTGACAATGGACGAAGAGAATAAGATACAGTCCCATATCATTTTGTTATCTACATATGGTTTTCCTGTGGATTCACTGGATTTGAGAAAAATTGTCAAGGGCTACTTAGATCATAAAGGTGTGGTAATTAGAAAATTTAAAGAAAACTGCCCTGGTTGGTGAATGGATGAGATTTGTTTTAAAGAGACACCCACAACTGCAAATATAAAAACTGTCAGAGCTGCTATTTCTCAAGATATAATCAATTCCTATTTTGATAACCTTCGACGTGAACTGGAGCGAATACTGCCACAAAATTTATGGAACTATGATGAATCAAACTTGTCAGATGACCCTAGGAACAAAAAGGTTATTACTAAAAGGGGTAAATATCCAAAACGAATTTAAATTCGTTTAAACAATCCACAAGGGTAATGTTTTGAGGAAATGCTTTGGGTACCGTTTTGCCTCCTTACGTAGTTTATAAAGCCAAAAATATATATGACACTTGGAAGGAAGGTGGACCTCATGAGACCCGTTATAATCGTTTAAAAAAGGGACTTGTTCCAGGGGGCTACTTTCGAGGACTGGTTTGAGTTTTTACTTTTACCTACTTTAAAGCATTTGGAGTGGACCAAAGTTGTAATTGGAGATAACCTGTCATCGCATTTAAGTGTGCATGTCCTGAAGCTATGTTCTCAGCACCCAATTAAATTGTCTTTGTTTACCACCGAATACAACGCAATTGACTCAACCTCTTGACATTGCTTACTTTCATCCACTGAAAATAAAATTAAGGCAAATTATCTTATAAAATGAGTGGCTCAAATACAACGATTCCAAAATAAGATTTTAGTCGACTTCTTAAGACACTGATAGAAGTTCTGTCGGAAGCTGTAAAATCTGTAGAATGGATTCGAAAAAGCAGAAATATATCCTGTAGACTGGCCTGTGGCCGACACGAGCGGAGTTGACAAAAACACACTCAAAAAGAAAGAAAGGAGAGTTTCTAGTGACTACGTATCTTCCATGAATATTTCTCTCCATTCCAAGGTCGAATTGAATGACCACCTTACTGATTTTAAATCTGTAGAGGAAACAACAAGCACTTCTAAATTAAATTCTAGGATTACAGTTGGAAATTTCTTTTTTTTATGTAACAAAAAGGTTTATCCTGGAGAAGTTCTGGAAATAAAACAAAATTTGAAAGAATTCAAAATAAAGTCTCTTCATCCAAGTGGTTTGCAATGGATACGGTCAACAAGGGATGACATTCTATGGTATGCACAAGAAGACATTTTACAGGTGATAGAAATACCCATACCATCCAAGCGGGATTCCTTAATGTTCTGTTCATTTTTTATTGTAAATTTGGTTAAAATAAATATTTTTGGAATCGATTCTTCTTTTACTTATTAAAAATAATGAGATAAAAAACCAATAAAAACAATTTTTGACCAAAGTCGAACATACTTTAGCTTTTCTTTGGGTTTGTATGGCAAAATGTAGTGTAGCCAAAGTGACCCAAATTCGTAATCTCACTTTGGGCTCTAAGTTTTAAAATAAAAAATGGGATTTCTTAAATCTCAACAGATTTAATATCAAGTGCACTTCTAGTAACATAGGAGTTCTATTAAATAGGCCCAATAATAACTAAATATATTTTTTCTACGTTCATGCAAAAAACAAAACTTTATTGAACTATATTTAGTGAAAAAAATGGTTCTTTATTGCACTAGTGCAATAAAAATTTTATTGCACTCATCTGTCATTTTACTACAGCGTTTTATGATCATGACAAACATAAATATTCAAATCAACGCCAAATATTTAGTCCATTTTCATTTTCTGTGTTACATTTTAAAAACAATTGCATATTTTTTATTATTTTCAATCATTTAATAAATAAATTAATAAAAAAATGTATTTTATTAAAAATTCATTACAAATTATGAACACAAACGTAAATTAATGCCTCAAACAAAGGTACAAGATAACTGGTAATATGGTTTGAATAATACAACTGCAGTTCTATTAAACATTTTTTGGTTTTTGCATGAACGTAGAAAAAATATTGTATGCAACTCGTGCAAAAAGTGTTTATTGCACTCGACGTGTTGTCCAACTCGGCCTGACGGCTTCATTGGACAATTTCATGTCGCGTGCAATAAACACTTACTTTTTGCACTTGTTGCATAAATAACTATTTTGCTGTACCAGTTACATAGATTTAAAAATAAAAAATTGCCAAAGTGACCCAAGTTTACGGTACCTATAAAATTTACCTGCTATCTGTTACTCAGGAAAGTTGCAATTTTATTTGAAATAATTTCAGGAAGAAATTTACGAAGAAATAATATCAATCGTGGGTGACTCAAGTATTCCTACATACAATGAATTAGGTGAGCTAAAATTTATGGAACGATGCATAAAAGAAAGTCTTAGACTGTATCCATCCGTTCCAGTAATAGGAAGAGTAGCTGGGGAAGAAATAAAAACAAAATCTGGATATACGATTCCAAAAGGATGTAATATAAGTATAATGTTCTACGATTTACATAGAAGACCTGAAATTTGGAAAAATCCTGAAAAATTTGATCCTGACAGATTTTTACAAGACAATGTTGCTAAGAGGCATCCGTTTGCTTATTTGCCTTTCAGTGCTGGAAGTAGAAATTGTATAGGTAATTATACAATGAGTTCATTTTTTATTTTAATTTATTATCTTCCTTTCGTTTCTTATTATCTACAAAATGTCAAGAGCATTCATTCATCATTCGTTTTAAGAAAACAGTTATTATAATAGTTGTGCAGTTTTAATTCGATACAACAAACGATACAAGCTACATTCGATTAACTGTAAGAATTTTTGAAAAATCGCTCGGGCATGCAAATTTGTCTTTATTTGGTGAATTAGAGTATATTTTCTTTCACGCTATACCAATCCTTGAATAATAAGACTCCATCATCCTCACTGTGCCTCTAGTTTATTTTTTAACAATCCTTGCCCTACTCAACTTCTTTAACTCTAATACTTCTTTTAAATACCATCATTAAAAAAAAATCGTCCAATTTTAAATTTTTCAAAATAACAATTAAGTCGCTGATTATCACTTAGGTGGTCTAGTATTATGTAAGGCTTCGAGACATCCCTATTTTTGTTATAGAGGTTGCGTTCGCGGTAACAATAATTCGATTAAATGATCATTATAATATTTTAATTAATCGATTAAACGAAATAGAATATAAAAATTATCTATGAAAAATCGAAAATATTCACTTAACTAAAAATGATCGAATTATCAAATATCATCGATTAATCGATAGTAATCGATTAATCGAAATTAATCAATTAATTGAAAATATTCGATTAATCGAAAATGATCTATTAATCGCAAATAATCGATTAATCTGTATTTAATTTTTCAAAAAAATATGAATTTAGTAATTAATTAATCGATTATTTTACCCACCCTTACCCTCAACGCGTCTCCCTCGTTTTGTTTTTTACCAGTTCACCAAATTCTATAAAAGTAAACCTATTTCCATCCAAAAAGTAAAGTAAGTAAAACTATATGTGAATTTAAAAAATAATACAGTGGTCACCACACATGTGCAAATTTAAAAAGCCCCGCAGTGATTGTGTTAATAACAAGTAGAGCGAAAATTAATTAATATTAAATATTTCCCTTTAAGACTGACACACCCGTGGATGTTTCAGTAAAGCAGCAGAATGATGACAACCTAATCGGTTCTTTCACTCCAATTTGGAGATTAAATTATTTAGGCTGTAGCTTCCCAACAAATACACTTGATATCTATATACACTGTGGTATTATGCGTTTGGTTCCGTCCGTCCCACAGAGGGGTCACGTTAGACAAAACTCACCAAAAACTGACAACAAAATCCTTCTTTCCAAGTCACATTACTCTTGGATTGTCCGCGTGATAAAACAAAAGATAAAGCTTGTCAAAAATAGCGTCTTAAATGCGTATATTGCTGTAATTTTTTGAGTGCAATTATTTTTGACAAATTCGGTCTACTCTTTGAGCTACAATAATCAAATTAACTTTGATGATAATAATCATGCAAAATAATTGACGTGATAAGTAGCTTATTATTGTATAAAAAAAATATTGCTGCAGTTTACTGCTAATCCAAGGAGGCATTTTCATGAGTTCTGCAAAAATTGACAAATTTATTCAGACCTAGGATTTCTTTTAGACAAAAAGTAGCAACTTCTGCAGTATTCAGTATACATTTTGGCTTAGTTTCTTTTCATGAACAATCTTATTTATAGTGGTATTCCGATTAGCTGCTACTGTTTGCTTATAATGCCGTAATTTAGGCAGGTACAAGAGGGTGATAGTTTTGTAATCCTATTACTATAACTGGCAGTCGGACAACTTTTATATATTTTTTTTAATTCTTGTTTTGTTACCTCATGCGTGATCCTAATTATTACATTTATTCGTCTGTAATATGCAATTTATGAACAGCCCTAATAAATCGGAATTTATCGGTACAATCTGTTCGCCATACTTACGCGGGTTTCGGATTAACAAAATTATGCAAATTAGTCAGTGACAACCAGTTCCAATAAGCCTCTTCCCAAGAAATTAGGTAAAATTGCGCTAATGGTCAGATTTAAATTAAAATGACATTAAGGTAGGTACTAAATTTTTTTACAAATATTGCAGTTGAATTGATTCTTTGCAAGTGTTGACATTGTATGTATATTGTAAATTTAGTCGCAATTTTAAAAATGCCTAGACGTGTATTAGATGTAGATAGTCTAATTTGTAGTGTACATAAGTATTTTACGGATAAAAAAGAAAATGGCAGTCCTTTAAAATCGGTAATGTCTGTACAACAACGCGTATGCGATGCTCTAGGAATTAGTGAAACCAAATTAAGAGGAGTATTACAAAATCACAATAGTGAACTGCCGAAAGAAGATTACCACAAAACTTGGCCATCATTGAAAACAAAAGATATTCCAGATGGAAAGAAATTTGAAATTCGTGATATCATTTATCGAATGAGGGCCAACAAGGAACATGTGACCTTAAATACAATTCTCTCGGAATTAATAGATAGAAAATTTGACGACATTGGCAGAACAAGTCTATGGCAAGTGATACATAACTTGGGTTTCAAATTTCAAAAGGAAGATAACAGAAAGGCCCTTTGTGAAAGAAGTTCTGTCGTGCACAAGAGAATTAACTTTCTAAGAAAATATTTTCTATGGGTGCAACCAATAGAATATGGCAAGATGATAACGTGAAGCCCATCAAACATACCGATGGAGAAGAGAAGCGACACATAATTTAACATGCAGGAGGGAAATCGGGTTTTATAGAAGGTGCTGATTTAATATTTTCTTCTCCCAGGTTTAAGTGAGCCCATCGTAATTATTTTAGACAATGCACCTTACCATTCTGAAGTATTAAACAAAAGTCCAACGAATTCTTGGACTGTTGATAAAATTAAAGAATGGTTGACAAAGGAACATATACCATTTCCTCAATATATATTAAAATCAGAATTATTACGCTTGGCAAATATACACGCAAAACCAAAAACCTTTGTTGTGGACCAGATTATTGAAAGTTACGGTCATCAAGTTTTACGTCTGCCACCGTATCATTGCCAGTTTAATTCCATCGAATATATATGAGGAATAGCAAAACAATATTATGACAACCATATTGGGCCTAATGGTTATAGTGACGACGTAGTTCAGGAAACTTGGCGAAAAGCACTTTCAATTGCAACTCCAGAAGTGTGGCAAAACTGTATATCCAAGTGCGAGAAACTAATAGAAGATTGGTGGACTCGTGAAAATAAAATAAACGAAATAAGTCCAATCATAATAACAATTAATGGTGATGATGATGACGATTATGATATTTTGGATGATAATGACTGATTTTCATTTTTTTGGCAAGTTCAATTTTTTTATTTTTCATTTAAAATTCTCTACATGGAACAAATTTTTATGTTAGAAAATATTTTATTTGAGGTAAATAACCCTCTTATTATACATAGACCATATTTTCTGTGTGAAGTGTAATATAAAATTATTATTAGGTTTATAATAGCCACATTAGACTCCATTAATGAAGAAGTTTAATTCTGCTCTCAATTATACAAAAGATTCTCCATTACAATTTAATTAAAAAGTTGTACATAATTTTTCATTTCATTAAACCACTTGATATTTCCCCAAAGAAAAGGTCAAACTTTCGGGTACTTACCTAAAAATACTCATAAAATTTTTAATCCGAAACCCGCGTAAGTAAAGCGAACAGACTGTACGTTGATTTTGGTTTACTTTCTGCATACTTGTAAAAAACTATTTCTGCAATGAAATGTTTTTTTTCTAATATAAATAAATTTGCTCTCAATTTTTGTGTTGTTTTAGATTATTTGAACTTAGAAATTAGTCGAAGAGATCTGTGGGAGAAGAACAAAGAATGTTCTTCAAAAAAACAGAACCGACAATGTACATATCTTAAAGAATACTTAAGAAATTTAACAAATTGCCCAACTGACAAGTTTCAAATTATTTCAAACCAAATTTCAAAATTTATTTTTGATTTTAAAACAAAATGGCAAAGAGCTTGCAGATTTTGCTAAAACCACTAAAACCTGGCTAGATACCAAAATGATATTTATCAACTATACACGCGCTTTAGATCAAACAAAAATTTGGCGCCCTTTGACTAATTTTTCATGTAGATGTGAAAGTAGTAAGCATCAGAAAATTCGGTCGAGGTTATCTCTTATGCCGTTCAGATGGAGCTCAGAAACGCTATTGATAAAGAAAAAGTTTATGAAAATAAAAATATATTTCAACGCAAATTTAAACAGGAATTAGGATTAATAGTTGATCAACCAAAACCAGTATTCGGGAGTAGCAATAACGGAAATACGGCAAGACGTTTTTTATGAATCTGGAAGTATCTTCTAAAATAACACAAATTGATTTAAAGGTCTTTAAAAAATTAAGTGTTATTTTGGAAGTAATTACCAGCACAATTACTCATAGATATATACGCTTGGTATTATATGACCCCAACAGTTCACTTAATTTTAATTCAAGGTACAGAAATTATTCGTTCCGTTCTTTTTCTAGTTGGCCAGCCAACTCTTAGAAGAGGCTGCAGAAAGTAGAAACAAAGAGTTTAAAAAATATCGAGAAAGCTTCGCTAGAAAAATTGCTCGAGAAAAAACTAACGAAGATGTTTTACTGGAATTAGAAAAATTCAAAAATTAAAGAGAAATTATTTTTCTAGCGAAGCTTTATCCATGCTTCTACCAACGGATGTTGATAACCAAATTAGTCATCTTTTGCTTAAATATTAGATTTAAATAATTTGTGTTCGATTGAGTTATAAACCTTAGTTTGTCTCTATTTTCAGTTAATATATTATCAAACTACCGATATATTCTTAGGAAACTCTTTTAATCAAGAAAACAATGTTAATTTAGTATTCTGATAATGTTTTGTAGTATGTCCTGCAGCAAAAACTATTCTGTTGTGTTGTATTTTTTTTATGTCGCCACTCTTGAATTTAATTTTTCTTCAACAAGTAATGTAATTTCAAGAAGGGGTAATTTTGTTAAAAAATATAGTAATTATTATAATATCTACTAACATGTTTTATAACTTGAATTTCTCACAACTTTTTAAGAAATAGCTACTTTAACAGGTGTCAGTTATAATATAGTATAGTGTCAATAATATCTCTGTTGATATTAGTTTGTTACATTTACACTTTAAACACATTCCAGAATACAAAAGAATAAGCTTTCCAGAATTCTTGGTAAGTTTTGATACTTTTTGCCCACGTGTGGCGTCCGTCCGATGTTACATTTTTGGTCCGCACGATAAGTCAAAACCAAAAATTCATATTTATTTTTATTATTTACTTATTTTACCTCCCTCGTATATGAATAGATTTTTTAATATGGATTACGTTTGTAATAGGTTTTAGGTGATGTACTAACTTTTATCAGGAATAAAATAAAATAAAGAAATTAACAATCAAAACATTTTCTATAAGGTGCAGTTGTTTTTGTCACACTATATACAAAAATATCCTTTACGACATACAAAAAATTTTTAGTAGGTATTTAAAGTAACATTTTTCTCTGTTTTTAAAGAGTAAGACTCTTTCTTCTTGTGCTAAATTCACATTTTTTTGCATTCGTCGTATATAGTTTACATTTTTTAATATGTAGTAGGTTTGTAGCGAGTTTTAGGTTGACTACTAAATTTTATCAGTACTCTCATTTTCTGAGACATTAACAATAAGAATGTTTTCTATAAAGTGCAGACATTTTTAGATATCTTAAAGGCGTCTGGCAGACGTAACCACCCGCGAAAAGTGTCAGGCAATTGTTGATTGGAGATTAAAATGTAATATAGTTGAACATAATATAACTACTATAACGTATTTTTCCGACATTTTGTAATATCTTGAGGACCTATTATCTACCAAACACCCTGGCAGTCAAGATAACAGCCAAACCTTTATTATCTACTAATGTGCATAGACATAAAAAATCCTAATCTTCATACTATAGGTGCGTTTTGCAAGCAGCGATTGTGGCGATCAATTGCTTGGCGATAATCGCACAGCGATCATAGCGTGTTACTGCTAGGCGACCTTTACATACTTCCATTTTCCTATGAGCGATAATAACAATAGACGCTAGCGGGTTTATCTCGTCGCGCGATCTTAGGGCAAATATGATCGCAGTTGTAAACGATTATTCAACGCAGGCCATCGAAATAGAATAAAGTAGAGATGACAACACTATTTTGCGATATGACAGATGGAAGCACTTCTAGTGACGGAAAAGTGTAATGAAAATGGCGACTTGAGTGGTACTTTGATTTCTTTGAAATCAATAATTTTACATTCGAAGACTGACTGAATGAAAATGATGTTATATCATTTAAATAAAGCTATTTAACAAAAATGGCATGTATTTTCATTAAAACTGGCTAGCTCCACTATCTTTAGTTTGACATATTTGACGTAAAAGTGTAAAATCCTATCTCAATGACGCAGACGGTTCTCGCGCACGTACTGCTTGTTGTATGTGTGTTTATAACATTTATGTGCATAAAGTCGGATAAAATCATGAGGCCCAAGCTGAACTTTTTAGCATTAGAAGACGAAAAACTTATTGAAGCTGTGGCAAAACACCCTGCTATTTATGACCTGCAACACGCTATGTACAAATATCAGCGTGTAAAGGACAATATATGGATTTACATTGGAAAGTCAACGAAATAATATTCCCTAAATAAATAAATAAAAATAAATAAATAAATTGCAATGAAAGTAAGTGTATAAGGCGAGGTATTTTGTGGAATTTACGAGACATTTGATTCACATACCCGCTATCGACGCTAGCGACTATTGTTATGACTGCTCGTAGGAAAACGGAAGTATTTGAAAAAACATCTAACAGTGACCAGCGGTAATCGCTAAGCGACCATCGCAAGAGAAGCTTGTTGCAAAACGTACTTTTTTAATATTATCTACCAGTATTCGCAATCATTGCTATGCGATTATCGCTCAACGATCATCGCCAAAATCGCTGCTTGCAAAAGCAAAACGTACCTTTAACGTAGGTCTGGCGGTCGCTGGCTCTTAGTCTATTACTATATTACTATTAACACAAAAAAAAATATTTTAGGTCAACGTTTCGCCCTTTTGGAACTTAAAGCAGCTTTATTCGGCATATTAAGAAATTTCAAATTATTACCTGTTGACAAACCAGAAGATATGAAATACAAAACTGATTTGGTTTTAAGACCGGCTGGAGAAATTAAAGTTAAATTTGTACCCAGATTAATAAACGTCTAAATTCTTATTAATAGTTATCTATTATCAGCACATTTTTAACCAAACTTGTGTTATTGTCTGATAAAATAAATTTCAATAGAAACTTATTGATTGTCAGTTTGGGTTTTGAGAATTTTTATAAGTAAGAATTATGATAATGTTAAAATGATGGATTATCTTAGATTGTAAAATGGTATTTTGTATGAAGAATAAAATGTTAATTTTGAAAGAAATACAAATAGGTAAAGAATGTTTTATTTAGAAAGTTAGAAATATTATATATATAACGAGAGCTAGAGAGAGGAGGGGCACTGGATACCAGAGTAGAGTGGAGTAAGTAGGCGTAAACGGAGTGCGCATATGGTTTTACTCCTTTTACTCTCAGAGTTCAATGTCAGTTGTCAATGTGACATACTAATACTTAAAAACTAATCGTACTTATCAGTAAAAACCATATAAGTTTCTTCCATATTAATGGTAAGCACGGAAATCAAATAAAAAATATTTTTACTTAAGAATTAGTCACAATTATCTTATTAGAGTTATTGCAAGTTCACATAAGGTCAGTCACTATTAGTGCCGCTCTTATTTTGACATCTGAGCATGCGCAGATCACTAACTTTAATAAAGATTGTGCCTGTCCTTAATAGAGAGATATTGCAAATTTCCATAAAGCCAGCCACTAAATTTTAAATTATAGTTCATCTTTTTTGTTGTCTATAATATTAAAGAGGCATTAGAAATTATAATTTTAGAAGGTTTAAATGACGATTATATTAAATATTTAATATTAAAAAACTTCTAACGGCAAGCGCATCCGAAAACTATAAAGTTGCCACTACCTGCTGCCCTTAAACATCCACAATTAAGGACAGGCACAATCCTTAATAAAGTCAGTTTTAAAACGTAAACATTTGCGCATGGTCAGATGTCAAAATAAGAGCGGCACTAATAGTGACTGACCTTAAGTAAACTTGCAATAACTCTCTTATTAAGGACATACACAATCTTTATTAAAGTTAGTGATCTGCGCATGCTCAGATGTCAAAATAAGAGCTGCACTAATAGTGACTGACCTTAAGTGAACTTGCAATAACTCTCTATTATCGATTTAAATCACCTTATGCGCATGCCCAATCCACACTCCACTCCACGATCTCTGAACGGCCAAAGAGGAACTTTTACTTTAACTCCTTCCGTACCCGAACGCCTAAGGTACATTAGGAGTGAATATAGTGAAAAGAAAGCGTAGACCGAACTCACCTCAAGAAGATACAATCAAAGAAGACAAGCTAAGACAGGAAAAGGCGGTGGAGACAGGTAGAGACAAGCATGACAGGCAGAGACAGGTAGATACAAGCAGCACACAGAAAGAATACAGATGAGATCGAGACAAGCGGAGAAGATTAAAGAATTTAAAATTTATTTTTTTTATTATTAAAATTGGTAAAATTACATTGTCTGTAAAGTTATAGAGCCAAACCACCCCCTTTTTGAGAGTCTGGACAAATTTTATAACAAATTAGTATACCAGGTTTTTCTATGTTAAGTGGCGCCCAACGTGAAGCATTGGGTAAAAAGGGAGATCAAAATTTTGGATATTTGAAATTTGGAAGAAAATTGTTAAGATTTTTTATAGTTTGCTTTATTTGAATTGTTAATTTTGGAATAGTACCACTATTAAATATGGGTATGTCTAAACTTATTCTTTTAAATTATGAACTTGATAGTATGTCTATTTATGGAGTTATTGTAGGTACATAGTTTGTTGGCAGACTTTTTATTTTTACAGTTTTTTTATATTATTTTAATTGTTTTCTACTTATTGACGGCTTGCGATGAATTAAGAGTATCACTATTAAATATGAATATGTATAGACTTGTTCTTAATAAAATGTGAACTTGATAGTATATCTAGTTATGGAGTTATTGTAGATAGCTTTTTTAGCAGACTTTTTATTTTTAGTTTTTCATATTCTTTTAATTTTTCCTACTTTTTGACGACATACGATGAATCGACTATTAGTAAAGAGGCTAGGAGAGTTCGGCCTCATTCCTTATGTAAATTAACATGGGAAATCGCTAAGGTTCATTCTGGCAATTTTTGACGGTGACGTCACACGTCGAGAATCATAAACTAACTTGTCGAGCCACCAACGGGGGGGTGGGGGAAGCAAGGAGGAGTGAGGGGAATTAAATCTCTTTTAACGTTGAAGAGAAAAATTATGCCACAAGGGCCTTAGCGTGTATCCGATTCAAACGGGAAAAATATCATTATGTAGATAACGATTAACGTCCAGCAGAAAAATCATGCGCAGAACGAAAAGCCAGAAGCCAGCCTACTACATCTGCCGCTAGATGGAGTCACTTATTAATTAATTTATTAATCCGCAACTTACTATACATCATTATCACAGCAACTCAACATACACCATTAATTATTTTATTTATTAAAGAAAAAAAAGTTGAAACCGCGAGGGATCGATCCACTGACCCAGAGAGGTTTGCCGATTACCAGTCGTCATCTTTATCGCTACACCACGTAGACTTTTAAGAAATTCTTACTTTATAATGTATACATAAAAAAAGAGATAACGCTGGTAAAAGACATCGGATGTTATTATTGGTTCGATTCAAACAGTACAAACGGCACTACTAAGAAGGAGATGTGACGTAGATTAACGTTGAATAGAAAAAACATGCCAGAAGGGCCTAAAACTTATATCTTTATTTCTATTGGTCCAATTCAAACGGGAAGAACGGCATTACGTAGAGAACGTGGTACAGATTAACATCGAATAGAAAAATCATGCGCAGAATAAAAAACCACAAGGGCCTTAGCATGTTTCTCGGATACTACTGGTCCGATTCAAACGGGAAAAATGGCATTACGTAGAGAACGTGGTATAGATTAACGTCCAACAAAAAAAGTATTCGCAGTGACAGGTCAAAAGGGCCTAAAACTAATATCTTTGTTATTGTTGGTCCGATTCGAACGGGATAAACGGCATTATGAAAAGAACGATTAATGTCAAACAAAAAATCATGCGCAGAACGTAAAAGCCAGAATGGCCCTAGCATGTATCACGTGGTCCGATTCAAACGGGAAAAACGGCATTATGTAGAGAACGATTAACGTTGAAAAGAAAAAACATGCCAGAAGGGCCTAAAACTTATATCTTTATTTCTATTGGTTCGATTCGAACAGGGCAAATGGCATTCGGCGTGAACTGTCATCCAGCTATCAGTTCCACTGATCTGTGTTATTTTACTGGATAGGATATAGGCTATATTTAACATACTAAAAAACCGTTTCACCAAGGAGACCGGAAGTGCTACAATGCTGGCCGATTTAGGCAAATTATAGTGGGTTCACAGAACTGAAATTTGGGATAATTTGACATACCTAACCTATAATTTGATTAGTTTTTCTTCTTATTCTTCTTCTATTCCTTTTGCGGGCGATGTCCTTCGGGAAAATTCACCTATGATTTGATTTTTTATGAAAGAAAATATAAAAATGGAAACGTGAAGCATATTGTGTCTTCAGGAATGAACGTTTATTGTTTATTTCATGCTCTTTTTACTTTGTTTTCCACAATAAAAACATCTCATCGTAGCTTGTTGACACAATTAAATGACAAATGTGATGAAAAATGGAAATAGAGGTTACGTTAAATAACATCCGGTCCGCCATATTATTTGTCCAAATCGGCCAATTTTTCGGAACGTTTTTTAGGGGGTTATATCCTATCCAGTAAAATAATACAGATCAGTGATCAGTTCCAACGAAAGAATTGCCATCAAAGACACAGGGGCATTAACAAATCATTGTTGTTGATGTTAACCTTGAACTGTTATCTAGCTGAAATTATCATATCATTACTACCGGTATCCCACTATCTTTCATATTTCCGATTCTCATGATTTTTGAAAAGGAAATGACACGTGACGTACTAATAATGAATTTGCCAATCGTTGTGTCTTATTGACACTTTTTGAATTAATGTCTCCGATTTCTTTAATTTTTCAGTATGTAATGTAATGCAACATGCTTATAATGAATATGTCATTCAAACGGCATTTTAAAATTGATGACGAGCTAGAACTACGTGTGATACATCAAATATGGGGGCATATTTTGTGGTGGGGGTATAAGTTATTATTTAGTTGAATAAAGTAAATAGGTGCTTTAATATTTTGTCCGTAGTATCGAGAGTATGTTCAGCGAAGAGAATAGACGAGTCGTTTTAAAAGTAAGTAGATTTTAAAAACTTTTTTAAAGTAACGCTTTAATTATATATAGATTTCACAAACAGTTTTCACACATTTTTCTCTAGTTAATTATTTTGCTTTTATTTTTTTTTAAGTAAATCCTATGTTTAATTTATTGATTTTTCTGTTATTAACATTTAAAAATTTTAGTTTATAGATGAACTAAATGAATGTTCTTTAATTAAAGAAAACAAGCCAATTAGAAAAATTGGGGAGTTGCAGCTGAATCATCCTCATAAAATAACAAGAAGATCCCTGGTAAAGACGAAATTTGGTGACTCGATATTGCTGGAACTGGAGAAGGCAGTAGTTTTTAATGTATATATATATATATATATATATATAATTTCATATCCAAACACAAGGTTTTTAGACGAACCTTCAGATTATTATTGAAAGTCAAGGAACTATATTAAAAATTTCAAATTTCTCAATACAAATTTATTTTAGGTTTAAGATACCACTAATTTTTAAACAAGAAATAAAAGTGGGTAGCTCATCATCTTATTATAATTATCTATTGATAAGCACATTTCTGAAGTATTAGAGTACCTATAAAATGAATAATATAAATGTATTAAACTTAGTTGATTTAGTTGGTTGCTTGCTTATTGAAGATATCCTACTAAATAAAGGTAAATATAATTTTTATAATTATTAAACTATTAAATGTACTATTTATATAATAATATTAATAAATATAAATAAAATTGACAGTACCTAATCTATATTTCTGGAACTAATTT